CAACTTCTGTTACATTTTCGTTACATTTTCTGATCAGTTTTTTCCCCTGCCAAAACGTAATCTGACCGTCGAGCCCGTTCTCATCCTAAAGCGCCATATCAGACGCTTTTGCAAAAGCGTAAATATCCAACGCACATGGCACCCTTTAACGTGAAATGAGACGCAGATATATTTGGGCAGATGGCGCCCCTAGTGGTCTAACCCTTACACCAGTGACGTTTGGTTGCCATAGATACAGTATATCAACCCGGCAGTATATCAACAGCACGGCCGGTCACACTAAATGCGTCTCACACGCAGACAGTGTGTTTATCGTGCAACTCATACGCGAAAATTTGTTTTTTACGTGCATAGGAAACACACCGTGTGTAATATATGTTTGGTTTGGTTAGGATTATGGCAAGCCAAGAGGTTCAGAATTACACCATAAATGAATCGCGTTTACTGCCAAACATAACATATAGTAAGGATAAGCATGATATTGCCTAATTGCAAGCTTGTTTCAGAAATGGTGACGTTTTTTTCCATCATTATTGAACATCATTATAGGAGTAGGCTATTAGGTTGAATGAGTTAGAATTAAATGTTTTATTAATCATTAGAAAATAGACATTAAGATAATAAATTGTTATGCAAGTACTTTTACTTTTAATACTTAAAGTACATTTAAAATAAAGTACTTTTTACTTTTTACTTAAGTATGGTTGTCATTGTGTTACTTCTACTTTTACTAAAGTAAATATTTATCTGGGTATTTGTACTTTTACTTAAGTACTGAGATTCAGTACTTCCTCCACCACTGACCTGCTCCCAGACACACTTTCCAGCTTTGGATAAAGATCTTTGAGGGTTGAACATACCTTCAAGAGTAATATAAATCATACCATCATATTGACAAACAAACATTGGTTTTGATAGTGGACTATATTCAAATGACAAAAAAAAAGAAAAAAAATTGTTGCCTCACCTCATCATGGGTGTAGTTCTCTGGTATCAGCGTGGCCATGCGTCCCAAACCAGCTTTCAGATTGAAAACTTCTTTACTACCTTTGGGAGTGTGCTCAACAATTTTGGGTAAGAGATAATATGTAACTTCTATCTCTTTGACTGGTGTGGAGTGGTTGGAAGGCCCTTGAACGCGCCGGCGCTTTCCCCTGGCTACAAAAAAGGCAGGAAAAGACCTGTGATGACAATTTGTTAACTTGACATTACACAATACAAATACACATTTCACTAGCTATAGTTTGAGAATTTAAATTGATGAATGTAAGGGACGAGTCAGTCTGACAAAGAAACCAAATAAAGAACCTTGTCATTTCTGTGTGGACACTGGGTCGGCCATCTTTCCTGACTCCTTCTTCCCTGTCTGCTAGAATGACATGCCGTGTTCAGGAGATGCATCACATTATTTTATACACGTTAATCTGGGTGTGTGTGTGTGTTATCTTATTTGTTGCGAAACTAGACAACACCTTGGAGTCTCTGGACCAATAGCTTGTTTTCACGTGACGTCACGCCACTCCGTTGCCATGGCGCGAAACGCAGATGGAGGGCAGGAAGTGATTTCTATATTTAGGAAGCACTATAACACACTCAAAATGCCTACGTTTTGCGTCGTTTATATTTGCTCAATCGATCAAACCACGAGGAGTTTTTATAGTGTGACAAAATTTGTTGTTCATAAGGTGGGAAAATACAAGAAATTGAAAGAAAAGCGCTGGGGAAAAATGCCTTGCAAACCTACGTCTGCGGTCGGGAGGAGCCAAATGGGAAAATGCCTGTGTGTGTGTGTGTGCAGTGATCACTTCCTCAAATGTGAGTTAATACATTATTTATGTGGCTTATAATTACATTATTCAGGTGTTTAAATACACTTATGTGGCTTTTTGTGTAACGTACCAGTTTCCGAACTTTGTAAAGTCAAAGTATGTCTGTAAGACGAGTTAGTTGCTGATATCTACAGCCTCCATGGTAGGCAAATCTCTCAATTCAGTTGAAAATCGGTCCTTTTCATAACGGGTCACGTCCAACATACGTTTCGATTTTCTGTTTATATATTTCTCTTGTAATAGCGTCTAAAGTAGTACAGTACGGATTTTCCTCCATTGCGCTCATCACTCCTTGCCCTCCATCTGCATTCCGCGCGTCAACACAATCACGTGACTGCAAACCACCTATTTGATGTTGGGCACTGGGCCCAACAGGACCAGAGGAAGGTGTTGCATTTGTGAGCAAATTTAGGAGGTGTCTTGCTGAATTGACTACTTCTGAGTTGTCTCCCTGTCAAAAGTATACAAATTCAGCAGTAGGTTGGAAAAGCTATTCAATACATCAACTTAATAACCCATAAAACAATATAAATAACTTAAATATTACCAAATCAAAAATTACAAAGTGGGATGTTTTCCATATTCCAAAGAAAATATATTGAAAAAAAAGTTAATCAAGTAAATGGCCAGCTATATCAATATAAAACAAAATATTAATAAAATAGGCACTATATAGACCACAATACCATATGCACTATTGAATTTAATTAATTAAACATCCAGCTTTCTTTCGAAGTGTAAATGTGCTATTTTTGTGTTTTTTTTTGTGTGTGTGTGTGCTGTTGTGCAAGTCAAACGGTGCTATTTTTGTGCTAGTCAAACGGAATTAGCTAACTTATGTATTCAACTCAAATGAACAGGGCTAGTGCTGCTATGGTGTACAGTAATTGCCCTGAAGTTTATGGCCTTACATTATGCCATAGACATATACACTAGACCTCACCTTGGATACGGCAGTTCATTGGAACGAATGCGTCAATAGAGCCGCCATCTTGAAACAGGGGAGCCCCTCCACTTGAATGCATCAGCGTCAATGTAGTAGACAGGTCTAACGCAAATAAAATCACCATAAATCATCATGAATGCGATTTTTCTTGTTTTTTTTTTTTTTGTTTGTTCCAACGGTCAGACATGTATTTATCATTGATTCCAGAAAGAATTTTTTTTAATTTTTTTTTTAAACATTCTTCCTAGTTCAGATTTCATCCGTGAACATCATACGCTGCACAAAAGTCCACCACCATCAATGAATTCGAAGTAAAGGCAGAGATGGCAGCGTTACCTACAGTCGGTTGGTCTGGGAACGCCCCGTCACGTGGTGTGAATTTAGCCCGTGGGGGAAAACATTGCCTTGGCGCTCATTGAAATACATGGGACAATCATGCCGAAGGGTTGCGGTGTCGTTTTCTGTACCACCAATAAACAAACAAATTATAAATTGAAGTTCTACAGCCTTTCTTACATACATACAGAACCGGATAGGAGGACAAAATGGCAAAATTAATCATATCTTATTAGATTACTATGAGTAGAGGTCCGTGTGATATAGTAGTAGATGTTTAACTCGTATTAGGCAGTGGGCCAGATTTGTCTGACGTTACATCCCTTACGAAAAAGAACTATAGTAATCCTATGGCTATTAGCATTCTATAGTAGTGTATAATACTTCTGTGATGTTCATTAATACCTATACTTCTAGGCTATGTCCCAAAATACTATAGTATTCCTATAGGATTAACGTTACTATAATATTTTGTCCTAAAATACTACAAGATTCCTTTAGTTGTTTTTCATAAGGGATGTTATTAGCGTTATCAGCTGAAGGTTATCAGACTGCAGTCTGTGAGAATTCGGATAACTGTCAGCAAAGTCCCTCTGCAACTTCGTAGCGACTACTAATGATCACCGTTTTACAAAAGGATTCATAGTTTGGAGTGAAGCATACGTACAATTGGTAAGTGACATGGTTTTATGGACTTATAGTAACTTATACGCAAGTTGATTGAGTTACAGGCTTGTGTTACCGGTATAGTAGCTTCCGCGATGTCTTACCTGAAGATTCAACCAGATATAATAGTCTGGAAACGACACCTCCGGCCATTTGGTTGGGTCATTGACCCAGTTTTTAATTAAATAAGGGCAATCATAACCTATTACAGTTAATTTTGCAATGTACCGTTGCCGGTCGGCAGGCATAAATGACTCGCAATATGACATTTTTGTCATTCAAATACATAGGATGGTCGCGCTGCTTTCCCCCACGCCGACCACGCCCCCAACTATGACGCGTTGCCGACTGTATCTATGACAAGACCCCTGTTCCAAGATGGCGGCGGTTTTGACGCATGCTTAGAACCCCCAGGTGAGGTCTAGTGTATATATGTCTATGACATTATGCTAGCACCTGCAAAACACAGCGACACATAACTTACACGCTTACTACTACTACTCTCTCTCTCTGTAAGCAGTAACGTTAATGAGAACCACGAGGAGAAGTTATCGGGGGGAAAAAAAATCACACTGAAGACATGACCAGTCTTGGCGGCGGCTAACACCAGCTACGTTTGCAACAACATTTTCACTGGAGGAAGAGGCAAACGCTTAGAAATAATAAACACCGGGCAAAAATGTTGTTACCAGAGCTAGTAGGCTACGGCTACCATAACAACGTGGGATTATAGCTACTGTGTTAGCAACGTCGGGAGAAAGATTTAATTTCCCCCGTTTCTACAAACTAGCTATAATATTAACAACAGTTAAACAAAAGATCGTAAAAAAATGTCATTACCGCATTTGTCCCAGCCGAATCCATAGTGTTGGTCAGTGGTCAGGCCAGTCGGCAAGTGAAGCGAAGTCAGGCAAACACTTCTTGTTTGTTTCATGGCGGGTAATATACTGTGCTCCAAAACATTGGTGCTGATTGGCCAAAGAGGAGTCACATGGCTCTGCTGTGCGCCAATGAACGCTATCTATCGATCTGCGCTCGCTTCATCCTCCAACTACCCGAATGTCTGTTTCAGTAACTTTCTTTTACTGTCTATGAGTAACTTGAAATTGAATTTGAGAACTGAATGTGAAGATATAGAGAGAGTTTAATTTTCAGTGAGGATCACATTTTATTGGACTTCAGTTCCAAACAAATAAATTCAATTTCAAATTATACAATTCAGATTCAGTTTTTGAATAAATTCAATTTTAATAAAACGATACAGTTTCAAATTATGTGATTTAAATTCAGTTTTTCAATGCAATTATTCAAGTTTAGCCATTCAAAGTTTCTGGTGGCAATCCAGACAGATGGTCCCGTTAATGTCTGAATTCTGGACCTGTATTAGTCCTTGTTGTCCTTGCTGAGGCCTGACAGCAGAAGATCTTTCAGGAAGGGGAAGACGTTGTTGATCAGGCAGGTGAAATAGTGGAACCAGGGGTAGTAGGCCTCTTTCTGACGGGACGCCCCGGCTTTGATGATGCTCAGAGCCGCTTCACTCGCTGGATAGGCCGTCATCGTGCTGAATCCTCTGAGAGAGATTCAAAAGAGAACAGTTATGGGGATTCTCATGAAAACACGTCCAGATCATTTTCATAATTTATCAGAATTACGACTTTATATCTCAATATTTGCGACTTTATTTCTCGCAATTGCGCCTTTATTTATCAGAATTGCGACTTTATATCTCGCAATTGTTACTTTATTTATCAGAATTGCAACTTTATATCTCGCAATTGCGACTTTATTTCTCAGAATTGCAACTTTATTTCTCAGAATTGTGACTTTATCAGAATTAGGACTTAATATCTCACAATTTCGACTTTATTTCTCAGAATTGCGACTTTATTTATCAGAATTGCAACTTTATATCTCGCAATTGCGACTTTATTTCTCAGAATTGCGACTTTATATCTCACAATTGCGACTTTATCAGAATTAGGACTTTATATCTCGCAATTGCGACTTTATTTCTCAGAATTGCGACTTTATTTATCAGAATTGCAACTTTATATCTCGCAATTGCGACTTTATTTCTCAGAATTGCGACTTTATATCTCACAATTGCGACTTTGTCAGAATTACGACTTTATATCTCACAATTGCGACTTTATTTCTCAGAATTGCGACTTTATTTCTCACATTGCGATTTTATATCTCAGAATTGCGACTTTATTTCTCAGAATTGCGACTTTATATCTCACAATTGCGACTTTGTCAGAATTACGACTTTATATCTCACAATTGCGACTTTATTTCTCAGAATTGCGACTTTATTTCTCACATTGTGATTTTATATCTCAGAATTGCGACTTTATTTCTCAGAATTGCGACTTTATTTCTCAGAATTGCGACTTTATTTCCCCGAATTGCGAGTTTATTTCTCAGAATTGCGACTTTATTTCTCAGAATTGCGACTTTATTTCTCAGAATTGCGACTTTATATCTCACAATTGCGACTTTATCAGAATTGCGACTTTATTTCTCAAAATTGCGACTTTATCAGAATTACAACTTTATATCTCACAATTGCAACTTTATTTCTCAGAATTGCGACTTTATTTCTCAGAATTGCGATTTTATATCTCACAATTGCGGACTTTATTTCTCAGAATTGCGACTTTATTTCTCAGAATTGCGACTTTATTTCTCAGAATTGTGACTTTATTTCTCAGAATTGTGACTTTATATCTCACAATTGCGACTTTAAATCTCACAATGGCGACTTTATCAGAATTGCGACTTTATTAGAATTACGACTTTATATCTCACAACAGCGACTTTATTTCTCACAATTGCGACTTTATCAGAATTGCGACTTTATCAGAATTACGACTTTATATCTCACAATTGCGACTTTATTTCTCACAATTGCGATTTTATATATGTGAGAGAAAAATTCACAATTATTTTTTTTATTTTTATTTTTTTTCAGTGGCGGAAACAAGCTTCCATAGCTATGGATTAAAAGCATCAGCCGAATAAAATAGTGGCCAAAAGTGATGTTTGAGGGGGGGATCTTTATGACCCAACAAGTGAACCATAAAAATATTAGGACCACACTAAACTTAGTTAAGGCATTTATCTGACTAAATTATTTGGAAAAATGCAAACTACAGCTACAGGTTTGATTTTACTATGCCTATAAAAAAAGCACATTCACTTTAACATAATCAGTCATTACTATTTCATTGGTTCTCTTTTGGTTTTCCATGTGTTCATAATTTGTAAGACAGCCAGGCCAAAATTGATGTCTGCATTAATTTGGCATGTTTTATTGCGGTATCACAACCAAAACACCCGTCAACCCGTGCTATACAATATGCTGACAAAATCGAAACTATTTTTAGGGTGAAGATGCTAATTTTCCTTGGCCGAACTCCACTTTTGGCCACTATTGTATGTTGTACAATTACTGTGTGCGTTTGTGTGTGTGTGTATACGCTGCCATTGCATAAGTTTGCGGGATTTTTTTAAGAAATGAATACTTTTATTTAGCATGGATGCATTAAAAATGACAGTAAAGACATTTATAATGCAACGAAAGATTAGTCGATTTTAAAAAATATGAAGCAACAGCACAACTGTTGATAATAAGAAATGTGCCATGAGCAACAAATCATCATATCAGAATGATTTCTGGAGGATCATGTGACACTGAAGACTGGAGTAATGAGTAGTAAGAAGTGAGCAGAATGTTACGCATGTACAGTTTTGTATTTTTTGAAAAAATCATGTTCATGTGGTTAGAAAAAAATGATAAAAATTGAGTCACTGAAATGGGGCCTTTAGACACATACTAAACATTTGCAAATTGACAGCTGAAAATGTGCTTCGGTTGTGTCAGAGTGTGTGAAGTTGCTAGAATGATTATTCATGATCCATGAATAGATCACCAAAGTAACAAGATGAATGTGCTGAGGGCAAACTGCAAATGAATTCATAACCGGCTTCCTGAAATATCTTGAGTGATGCACAGAAAAGATTGGAAACATTGATTGCATTTTGGACCTCACCAATGTCGACAGAACAAACATTTAAAAAATAAAATAAAAACGGTAACACTTTACAATAAGGTTTGTTTAGTTAACATTAGCTGATGCATTACCTAACATTTATCTATCAAATGTAACTTTTGATTTGAATGTATTGGTAAATGTTGAAATTAACATCAAGATAAATAAATGTTTTTCAAGTATTTTCCATAGTTTATGTTAAGTATTGCATTTAACTATTGTTAACTAATGAAACCTTTTTGCAAAGTGTTACTAAAAAAACTTGAACTAGTCATTTTAAACACACACAAACTGCAAATTTTTTCTTAGTCTTATTGTGATCAATTGAGCTAAAATTTTTAATATATTAATCATTGTAAATATATAATAGAAATAAAATATTTTGCATATAAATAAATAATTCTTACCATTTTAAAGAAAAGATATCCCATAAAAAAAGTACATAATGATTATTAAAATAAAAACTCACGTGAAAATTGCCATTGACCTGATGTAACATTTAAGAAGAATGTATTAAACATTAAACTGTTTGCTATTTGATAGAAAGTTGATTCAAGAAAATGGTTGCTGCAAGATCCAAACCAATTCTGAATTACTTGATGAAGGTGATAATCAATCAAAGAGTCGTTTTCTTAAAGTTTGCAGTATCAGAAGAGCTAGATTTAGTCAGTCATCAGTTCTCTCTGTAGTGAAACTAACCTGATCTTCCTCATGGCCGACTCTGTGTCGATCAGTCCGAGGATCATGATGGACACCGACACGTTGCTCTTCTGCATTGCCAGTTCACTCTGCATCGCCCCGAAGAATCCGTTCATGGCAAACTTAGTGGAGGTGTACGGAGCCACGAACGGACTCGCCAACTTACCTGAATCAGAGAGGAGAGCAGCGTGGACCTTTAGTCCTTTATAACAGCAACAAACACTTTACACAGAGAAAATTAATGATTGTGTCCCAAATCCAGTAGCAGCCTTTGTTGTGTTTCAACAGTTTTACTTGAAAATTTGTACCACCAAAATTTATAAAAAAAATGCCCCAAAAATTCAAAATATGGGACATTTTTGTCTCTGTGCGAGTCTTATTTTTAATATAAAGGATGGTTAAGCAATACCACACAAGCTAAAGTTCAACACGTTTGCAAATGTCATATTGATTTTATACAACATGAAGTTACTATAAGGTGACATTTAAAGGGATGCCACATTTTTTCATAGTAAACTGTTATTCCCTTAACTAAGACGAGTTGAAGTAATTGCCGATAAAAAGTAATTGCCGTTTCAATTCTTTTGTCTGTCATTTTTTTCTCATTTGTTGGGGTTTAGACGGGGGAGATACCATGTATTTCGGACAATACAATCCGAATTGTAAAGGCTGTCTCTTCCCAACTCATAGTGTTTCCGGTGTACTTGTACTTGTTACCTCTCAGCAGATTACTTTCAATGTAGAACATAATTGAAATGTAGATATAAGCCTATGAAAGACCAAAGAGCTTTAGATTTAGAACAGCAGTGTTTACATGGTATATCCAAAAAAATATTATTATGAAAGAAGTGTTTGCCATTTGATGCAAATGCTTCATTCTGGCATTTTGAATGCAGTGTTGCATTTTGTGTGTGCAGTTTTGAGAATTGTGTGTAAAAGAAGACTTAGTTTTGAAAACTAAGCAGTTAGTAAAAACTGTAACTAGATTAATATTAACTAAACTTGCACCAACAAAGTTAGACTCACCTGCCATTGAGGAAACTACTATGATGGATCCAGCGGATGTCTCCAGCGCAGGAAGAGCTGCTGCTGTCATCTGTGTGTAACTCACAAAATTCACCTGCAGCGAGTCAGATCAGTGTGAACAGAGAACGCAGAAACACACACATTGCAACAAAAGCCATTCTCTCGGTGTTCGACCTGCATGAGTGACCTGACGTGGTCTGCGTCTCTGTTCCAGAACTCTACGTTAGTGTCTCCAACATGATTCAACACTAGAAAGTCCAGTCCACCTGCGGGACAGACACACACGACATGCAGTCAATCGTTATTTTTGAAAGAAAAGTGTTTTATGCTCACTAAGGCTGCATATATTTGCTGAAAAATACAGTAAAAAATGGTAATATTGTGAAATATTATTAGCATTTGAAATAACTGTTTTTTATTTTAATATATTTTTAAAATGTAATTTATTCCTGTGATTTTCAGCATCATTACTCTAGTTTTCAGAGTCACATGATCCTTCAGAAATCACTCTAATATGATGATGTCAATTTTATTGTTTACTGTATATTCAAATCGAGAACAGTTATTTTAAATTGTGCGCATCTGAAGTGTCTCAGCTGAAAGAAATAATCCATTATTTATTGGCTTTAAAATATCTGCCAAATGTTCTTATTGGACTGATAACCACGTTAATATTAATAATGATCGGCCGATATATTGTGCATTCCTAATTTTATTAAAAAAAACTTTTGCTGATAATTTACTCACCCCCATGTCATTCAAGATGTTTATGTCATTCTTTGTTCAGTCGAAAAGAAATTAAGGTTTTTGATTAAAACATTCCAGGATTTTTCTCCATATAATGGACTTCAATGGGGTCCAAACGGTTCAAGGTCCAAATGACAGTTTCAATGCAAACTGCAAACTGTTCAAAGGGCTTTAAACGATTCCAGACGATGAATAAGGGTCTTATGTAGTGAAACCATCAAAACGAACAAATCTTTTTTTCGAGTGATTTGGTTCATTCAATGAACGAAATCGACTCGAAAAAAGATTCGTTCGTTTTGATGAACGAGTTCGGACAGGAAAGTCACGAACGTGCATCACAGAACAAAGCAAGGCGAGCATTTGTGCTAATAAAACTTAAACTTTTTTTATTTATTTTTGAAATGAGCGATTCATCGTCTGGTGTCGTTTAAAGCCCTTTGAAGCTTCACTGAAACTCTCATTTGGACCTTGAACCGTTTGGACCCCATTGAAGTCCATTATATGGAGAAAATCCTGGAATGTTTTCATCAAAAACCTTTTCTTTTTGACTGAAGAAAGAAAGACATGGACATCTTGGATGAAATTGGTAATTTTCAGCAAAAAAAAAAAGTTTTTTTTAAAAGTGAACTACTCCTTTAACAAATAAATGCAGCCTTGGTGTCATAAAAAAAATCGTAATTATTGGTAGTGTACATATTGCATCATTTCTCACCCAGTTTTTCCACAGCGTATTTGACGACTCTCTCGGGGTCCGCGGGGTCCGACATGTCTCCGGTCATATACATCATCTTCTGTGCGCCCAGTTTCACACACTTCTGCGCCACCTGAACATCCACAGGACAGATCTTAGCAGAATGCTTTCATTTGTTCATTCATACAAAATGTAATTTATTGCTAAGTCTAAAACTTCACAGCCTTACAACCTCTGCATTGCTTTCAACAAATAAAAAATATGGGCATCTAGTGATTAAAGTCCATAATTAATTGAAAAAGTATTCTTAAAGTGTTTCTGAAAAACAAACTGACCTTTTTTAAAGCCTCTAATCGTCTCGCAGTGATGATGATCTGAGCCCCAAACTTAGCGTAATGGTAGGCCATCTGCTCCCCGATCCCTGAACTGGCCCCTGTGATCAACACTCGGGCCCCGCGAACCGAATCTGCGCTCAACAACACACTGCACTCAGTGTAACTCTGCCCAAACCCACCGCTTCATCTTGATCAGAAGATTTATTAAAGGCTTAGTTCAACCAAAAATGAAAATGATGTCATTAATGACTCGTTCCAAGCCTGTAAGACCTCCGTTCATCTTCATGTGTTTATTACCTTTCTGGACAAGGACAGTATACCGTACAATACATATATTTCCAATGGAGGGACAGAAAGCTCTCGGACTAAATCTAAAATATGTGTCCCGAAGATGAACGGAGGTCTGACGGGCTTGGGACATCATTGACATCATTTTCATTTTTGGGTGAACTAACCCTTTAAGCCTTGAACTCCCAAGAAGGTTAAAACATAAAGTTAGAAGCAAAGCCTGTGTATCATATTTGATGCATTTCTAAGGCCTCTAAATCATCAACATGATCAAAATGCTGAAACCCTGTTGCACACATGTACAGTAGTGTAATCTACCAAAAGCAAATAAAAGCCTTTTAGTATGATTGTAAAAGCGTCCACCTTCAGCTCATGTCTTTCTGTTGTTAAATCTGCATTGATTTTTATAAAGTGCCTATTATGATGTTAGTAATATTTCGAGATGAACACTTACTAGACTGAAGCAACTTAATTTGATTATCAAGATTTTAGAAAAATCATGTTAAAATCTGAGTATCAAATATGCTCCATCTCATATTATATTTAATTGCATGATCTTTGATCATAAGCATTTAAATATCATCTTACTAAGACATAATATAGGGAGATATAGTGATGAGCGACATTGAAATGTATTTTATGTCAGTAGTCTGATATACATTACAAGCTATCAGAATTTGATCTCACGCTTTGCCAATATAAATATCATGAAATGCACTAAATTACAAAAATTTGCTCAATTTGGGTTTTCTCCATATTATCAATATATAATGAGCCATAAAAGCTTGATGTATCAAATATAATACTCAACAAAAACACGTTCAATATTTATACATTTCCTATATATTTTGTCAGAAGGCCCAAAAGACTACCACTTAAAAATATAAAGATTTTTCTGAATATTATTATACATGTCAGGCTTTACAGGGTAAAAACGAATGTCCTTCTAATATATTACAAAAAGACAGCTTCAATTCTGTGTTTTTCAAATGATTTAGTATAACTACAAAAGTTATAATCTCTAGATCATACTATTTTCACCAAGGTTATGGGAGTTACATAACCATAATAAATGACTAAGTTTTCATGATTGGATGCCAATATAATAATTTAGCTGGTTAATGTTTTAGTGAAAAACATTTTGAGTTTAAGATTGGTAACAAAATCTGTGCAAAATATACGAAAGGCTTTGGAAAATGCAATGCTTTCTTCATGTTATATTTATAAACTCCCCACACAAATCACTTTCGGGATTTCTCAAAGTAGGCGACTGTATGAGACGAGTTATGTTTTATATTACAGGTATATTATAAAATAACTCAAATATCTGAAGGGATGCAATAATAAAACTGAGTATATATTATTGTAAATCTGTTGTCCTGACCTGGATCAAACGTATCTCTCCACATGTAGGACATGAGGGCAGCGATCAGCACAAATAAGCTCACATACACCTTCATGTTCACTGGTGTCCTCGATCAGAAGCCTGTCGTCTGAATCCTGTGTGAGTGTATTGAGAAGTGTGTGTTTTACACAGATTGAGCCGTAAACCGTGACTGATCACCCAATAAACATGCCCGACAGTTCAGGAGGCCGAAGGTCATGTGTTGTTTACATTTACAAACACATTATCGTTTACTGAAACTATTAAAACATTTCGTTAATCGAATAAAACTTAAATCAAAGAAATATTAGTTAATAAAAACTCCAAGCAAATTGTACTGTACCATGTACGGGAGGAGGATTTTTTTTGTTGGTGTAGCAAAATTATTTATTCTGAAGCAATATTTTCAGATTTTACATACTTAAATCTTCATATTTGTGATATTTACTTCATATAGGCCTACATGTTGTTTATTTTTATAACGAGAACTTGAATTACCATCATCTTTCGTGTCAAATTCTTACATTTGATAAATAAATTCAGTTAAAAATAAGACACTAGTCTCGGTCTGTTAGCCCTCAAATTAAATAATTTGCACTGCAAAATTACAACTGCAATAAATGTTATGAGATTGATGTTTTCAATAAATGTTTAAATATACAAATAAAAATGCACTACTAAAAGGAGTAGTTCACTTTTTTTTAAAAAAAAACTTTTGCTGATAATTTACTCACCCCCATGTCATCCAAGATGTCCATGTCTTTCTTTCTTCAGTCGAAAAGAAATTAAGGTTTTTGATGAAAACATTCCAGGATTTTTCTCCATCAATCACTAGCAGTGCCTCATGGGAGTAGGTGGAGCTAAAAAGCTATTACATTTTGGTACGTTGCTTTTTGGACTCTCTGATTGGTGGAATTTTCTGTACAGCATCATGGGTAATGTAGTTTTTCACCAGGAATTTCACTGTTAAACCACTGTCAAGTTCCATCCATTAACAACCTCGTAGATAACAGTATTTCTGTCATCATTCAAAATCAATTTCTCTATGAAAGAAATGAATGGACTGTTGACTATGGTGGGGAAAGAGTTAAACGGCATGAGCGTTTAGTCAATAAACAGCAAAACACCAACAATTTTCAGTGCAAAAAATATCTCTTTTATTATTTACGATAACATCAAACAAACAGACAGGATGAATAGTTTGACACTCGTTGTCAATGTCACCTACTGAAACGTAACTTTGGTAAAAAAGCAGCAAAAGATTAAACAGATTAAATAGAAGAACCGGCAGAAGCTCGCAGACCACACAATAAATCACATTTACAAAGAAGCCAGAAAGAGAATCACTCCTTCAGTTAGGAGAAAGAAAAACTGCAGAAGCCGCTTGAGGCTCGTGAAACCTTGCTTGAAATCATCAAGATTTGTCTACACAGGGAAAGCAGAAATATAGTACAAGTGTTTTTAAAGCACAATGGAGAATATACAGAAAATATTCCACCTGATGTCATGGCAAACAGACCGGAAACTCAATCCATATCCACAGCTGAAAGTTCAACAAGTCATTTAGAGAAATGTGCATTTCACTGAACAATACTTTCCCGTAATCCAAAATTGGGATGCCCAAAAGATTTACTGGCGTCAGGACAAACAAACAATTTATCTTCTCAAAAAAAAAAAAAAAAAAAATTAAACATGCTGTGTGTTTTTGATAATGACATACTGAATATCTAACAAGAAGAAAACTACACAAATGACTGATGAATGTGAGCGAAGCGCTAATGTACTGAAAAATTCAAAAACCGTCGGTCTGTCTGAGAGATGATGATAACCACATGCAAACCACAGCAGGAAAATGAGTTAAAGGGATAGCTCACTTTGAAATTAATGTTTGGTATGTTTTAGCGTACCTCAAGGCCATCCAAGATGTAGTTGTCTTTGTTTCCGCAGTATTTTAAATTTTGATATTTTTAGGTCAAACCGTTCTTGTCTGTCAGTCATATAGTGGAGGTCTATGGTCACCACCTTAATGAGCATGCACAGAGAAGTCCAAATTAAACATGAGTTAATGACTTGTAAATATAAGTACACATTGACGGCCTAAGACACGAAATAAGCGGTTTGTGTGAGAAAACGAACAGTATTTATATCGTTTTACCTCTTTTAACCACAGCCACATCCATGTGATCTGAGGGCGCAGGCGCTTTGTAGGCTGTAGCAACAAGAGGTAAAAACGATATAAATACTGATCTTTTTCCGTCACAAACGTCTCGTTTTGTGTCTTTGACGTTTACGAGTCATTAAATCATGTTTAATTTGGACTTCTCTGTGCATGCTCTTTGAGGTGGTGACCATAGACCTCCATTATATGACTGACAGACAAGAACGGTTTGACCTAAAAATATCAAAATTGAAAATACTGCGGAAACAAAGACACCTACATCTTGGATGCCCTTGAGGTAAGCTAAAACATACCAAAAATTAATTTCAGTGAACTATCCCTTTAAGATCAGCAAACACTCAATCAGAGAGAAGCGCTGAACAACATTTGTTTACATTACATTTACATAACCAAATTCATTTATGTACAGGTCTTTTGGAAGAAGTGGTTAAATTGGAAAAATGTGATTAAATTAATTTCCAGAAAAAAAAAAATAATAGTGTTAGATTTAATCATAAAAATGATAGAATTTGCCATATTAAAAACCAACAAACGCAATTTCAGCTTCAAGAAATTTAGTTTTGATTTCATTTTGGTGATGCCAATCACTAAGACACTCCATGTATAATTTACTCATTTAGTAATCTTTGAGTTCCTGCGAGACAGTGTAAGAATAAAGTGCAAAAACTACAAGCAAAAAGGCCAAATCATCTACACGAACTTGCTCAAGTGCTGCATTTACAATAAAACGTGACGCGATGCCAAAAGCAAGAATAGCAAAAAACCGCCACAAAAGACAATTAAAGTTGCTGTTTTATCACTTTAAAAGTGCTGTGATGATAAAAGCTCGCCGTGCACACATGGGGGAACATCTCCCAAGTCAAGTAAAAGAACAAAACTGTCTTTTTCATGAAGCTTTGCTCAAATTAGCTGGGACAATAACGCAATAACCTGCCTTTAATTCACAGTGGAGGCAAAGATGTCTGTAGAGGTCTAACAGCTCTATCCAGCCTGCTGGATTGGATTTGATCCGTGTTTTACTAAACCAAGGCTTTTTAGACGTCGGCTACGTAACAAAATCTTGTTTTTGCAATAACTGATTGTTAATCAATTACTACTGTGCACCGTCACGTCTAATCGAATTTGTCATCTTCATACAATCAAACAAAAAAGGAGACTGGTTTAATTTTTGCTATGCTTGACATTCAAAATCACAGCTGTAGTACGTGGCTTGGTGTAAGAAACAAGTGCTCTACAGTCAACAAAAACAAATGTGTAACGAAACGGATGATTTCACACAGGACAAAACGGGCAACCCTATTCGTTGAGCATTTTACAGTCAGTCACTTAATGTTCATCTGATGTTAAATCACTATAGAAAACCATTTCAAAAACATGCTTTCTCTATGCTACATCTGTTCAAAACCAGATATAGTCCTAGTTTAATGCTTTTACTGACTGGACTTTCACTTTTAAAATCGAAAAGCGCAGAAAGGCATCCGTCTCGTTGCGTATCTGATCTGATTTGGGGGGAAATCGCAACTAAAAGAGCGACACAATGCATTAGAAAATGCCAACTCAAAGGTTTCAACTGCATTTCTGGGAGCAAACGTTTGTTATGAAGCATATTAGTTCTATAAATAAATCAGTTAGACAGTTTCATTTGTAATCAAATGTCTCTCTGAGGTTAGTCTTTTTTTTTTTTTTACCAGAACTATTTACAATTCGAAAGCAAGAAACTCCTTCGCAGTCTCGCGAGACCGAACATTCATACACAAATCTCGAAAAACGAGACTGACCTTTTCCAGGGCCTACGGCTGAATCGAAGATATTCCATGGGATTATAAACACCAAATGATGTCCAACTCGCACGTATAAATACACTGTTTTGATATGACAATTGTGGACAATGGCATCAACTCAAAAGCACAAACCCTGTACACGTACGCTTCATACAGTCCCTCCTGTACACTGAGAGGCGATGACACTTAAGCTACGAAGAGGTGAAGCCGTGGGTTTGTTTTGTCTGTTTCTTTTAGGTGGTCTTGACCAGGTCGTACACGTGGATGTGGAAATCGTCATCGTATTTGATGTAGTAGACGGACGGCTTGGCGGGGACTTGATAGATGACGAGGCCCGTTCTCTTTACTCCTTTATCCGTCACATACTCCACCTGTTTACCCACAAGGCTCTCTGTTTCCTCGCCGGGCTTCCTGTCTGCGGGCAGCAGGTGTTTATTCTCTGCGGAAACAAAGAAATGGAAACAGTGAACTGAAACTTCACTTTGCTGCACGATGAGTCGGAACCTACTTTAAGTCACAAGTCACACAGAACCGAAAAACAATCTTGGTTCTGAAGCGTTGCATAGCAATTTAAAGGGATACTCCACTTTTTTTTTAGAAATTAAACTGTTGAGTTTTACCTTTTTTGAATCCATTCAGCCGAACTCCGGTTCTGGCGGTACCACTTTTAGCATAGCTTAGCATACATCATTGAAGAGCATAGACATATACACTAGACCTCACCTTGGGGTTCTAAGCATGCGTCAAAACCGCCTATCTCTGCCTTTACTTCGAATTCATTGACGGTGGCGGACTTTTGTGCAGCGTATGATGTTCACGGATGAAATCTGAACTAGGAAGAATGTTTTAAAAAAAAAAAAAAAAAAAATTTTCTTTCTGGAATCAATGATAAATACATGTCTGACCGTTGGAACAAACCAAAAAAAACAAGAAAAATCGCATTCATGATGATTTATGGTGATTTTATTTCCGTTAGACCTGTGTTTACTACATTGACGCTGATGCATTAAAGTGGAGGGGATCCCCTGTTTCAAGATGGCGGCTCTATTGACGCATTCGTTCCAATGAACTGCCGTAGCCAAGGTGAGGTCTAGTGTATATGTCTATGATTGAAGAGCACCAGTCCATTAGCATTTCTCCCATAAAAATTACCAAAGTGTTTCGATATTTTTTCTATTTAATACTTGACTCTTCTATAGTTACATTGTGCAATAAGACAGACGGAAAATGTAAAGTTGTGATTTTCTAGGCTGATATGACTAGGAACTATACTCTCATTCCTGCGTAATAATCAGGAAACTTCACTGTCGTACCATGAGTGCAGCAGGTGCAATGTTATGACGCAGCGCCTGAAAATAGTCCCCAGCTTCCAACGTGACCGGGACTAAGTTTGTGTAGTCATCGCGCCTGCTGCACTCATGGTACAACAGTGAAGTTTCCTGATTATTACGCAGGAATGAGAGTATAGTTCCCTGCATATCAGCCTAGAAAATCGCAACTTTACATTTTCTGTTTGTCTTAGTGCTCGATGTAACTACAGACGAGTCAAGTTTTAAATAGAAAAAATATCGAAACTCTTTGGTAATTTTTTTGCGGGGGAAATGCTAATGGTGTGGTGCACTTCAGTGATGTATGCTAAGCTATGCTAAAATTGGTACCGCCAGAACCGGAGATCGGCTGAATGGATTCAAAAAAGGTAAAACTCAACACTTTAACTTTGGGGGGAATTGTAAAATGAGCCTATTTCCCAAAAAAAGTGGAGTATCCCTTTAAAATTGTCTGCTAACAGCATAAATTTGAATGTAATAATTTGTAGTATTTAGTGCTGTCAAACGATTCAAATATTAAATCGCGTCATAGTTAACTCGCGATTAATCGCACATTTTTATCTATTCTAAATAGGGGTGTGCGATATGACGATTTTTAATCGTGGACGATTAAAATGTCTCTACGATCTGCTTTTGAAGAAATATCGTAGTATCGTGTTACAGTACATTATCAGTTCAGTTCTGGCGCCTCCGTCTCTCAACTGTACAACGCGACGTAGCCTACACATGATCACACATTAAGGAACAGGTACTGGGACACTGCAATTCACAAAAGTTCATTATTTGCATAAGCCTTGCCGGTTAAACATTTAATTCACGCGCTGTTCTAACGTGCGCTTTCCTGACCGCAAACCCCCGACGCTCACAGGCACTAGAAGTCTGTCAAACAGCGCCTGAATACTGGACTAAGTTATCTCTCGAGTCTTATTATGCTAATACTGTTAAATACACACAATGTTTACATAAACAAGCTATGTCTAAAGTGAAAGCAAACATTTGAGAGAATATCTGGTGTAATATGCGTCTATATTAAACGCGTCACGTGCTGGTCTAAAAGCGACAGGAATAAATAGTACTGCCACTTGTCCTTAAAGGGATAGTTCACAAAAAAAAAAAAAAAAAAAGTCATTATTTACTCACTCTAATGTTGTTTCAAACCTGTATTCATTTCTTTCTTGTGCTGAACACAAAAGACAATTTTTTTTAATGTGGGTAACCAAACAGTTGCTGGTCCCCATTAACTTCCAGGAGAGAACCTATAAAAAAAACTATAGGGGGACCAGCAACTGTTCGGTTACCCACATTATTCAAAATAACTTTTATTTTCAACAGAAGAAAGTAACTTATTCAGGTTTAAAACATCTTGAGAGAGTAAATTAAGACCATTTTCATTTCTGAGGGAACTATCCCTTTAGTGTTAATAAAACAAAACAAAAAAAAAAAACAAGGAGAAAATCACTCACTGACTGAGAACTTTAATATAGCTTTAATAAGAATCAATTTATTCAGTGAAGTCTATGTAGTGTTTTAATTTCATATTTGTTGAAAAATATTAAAACCAACTTGAAAAAGAATCGTGATAAAAAATCGTGATCGTGATTTTCCTAAAAAAATCGTGATAAGATATTTTTTCCATATCGCCCACCCCTAATTCTAAATGTCTCTTGATTTCTTTTTGTCCCATTATTTTTTTTTTTTTTTCATTTTAATGCTCTTATCAACATGGAAAAGTGGATCGGCTTGCTTTGTGCGAATGTTTTTTTTTATTGAAAACAACATTAGCATATATTCTGTTTTCAATTTCACACTAACATTCTCACTTGGAGCAAATAATCTCTCAATGTAACACTGTCTATCAATAAAAGGGTGAAAGAAATACCGAGGAGGTCCTGATATTGACGAGGGGGCGGAGAATTCGCATCAGCTGACGTGGACGTGCTGTGATGATGATAGCTCAGTTCACAACGACAAAACACACAGATCACTTTGGTCTTGTCAATTGAACCTTTTGCGAACTTTTTAAAAGTAAACTTTCCATTCAGAATCTTATTGGCATCCATTTCGGCGTCTTGTGCTCGTCATCCACTCAAACGCAACGTTAACCAACTATTTGGCTGTCTCGCAAGTCCAAATAAGTGTGTGTGGCAAGCCTGTTGTTTTGCTTCCGGTCTAGCTAGATCCACTTGTGCTTTGGTCGACGAAGCAACAAAACGTTAACTTTTTTATCGCGCGATTAGCGGTCTTGTTGGTCTAGCAAACGTTGTATTTTTTTTTTACATGCTTTTGCAACAGGACGCGGCATGTGCGGCGCGGCGCTATGAAACCCATTCATTTCAATGGCTTGCGCCGCGTCCGCGTCCTGTTGTAAAAAAAAAATACAAAGTTTGCTAGACCAACAAGACCGCTAATCGCGCGATAAAAAAAATGAATGCTGTTAAAATTGGTTTACGTTAACGCCGTTAGTAACGCATTTAACTGACAGCCCTACTACACTCTCCTTTTATGCAAAAAAAAAAATTATGTTAATGACAAGAAAGTACCCTTTTGGCACAAAGGTTCTTTATAGGCTATTATTCATTCATATATTACATTGTTCTGCAACATTTTGTAGTTGTAATTAAATTATTGTTTATTAAACTGTTGTAGTAACATAATATCCCATTTTAATCATGCTGAGTTTTGAAGGATAAAAACTGAGATGGCACTCTTTGTGTGATATTGATTAATTATATTTTTTAACCCCCATCAGTACTTCAGTACTGTTGGGGAAATTTTAATCTCACATGTATTACATATGATAATTGGGTCTTGTGTTTCTATCTGTTCACCTCCCATATGTAATAACAGAGGAATGTCTTATGGTTTTGCTATCCGTGAAGGAGGTAATTTGTCTTTCCTTTATCAAGAGTGGAGTGAGGCACCAGAGAACCGGCCGGGTCAGAGGTCATCTTAGACTAGGGAGGATAGAAGGGGTTAGCGGTAAATCTAATCTAGCATTTGAATCCTATTGCTTGTGGAATTTTACAGGGAGGCTTGGCCTGCAGTGAATAACCTTGGGAGAGCTATATAGACAGACTCCGGCCTGTGTTCTGGGCGTCACTCTCTTCACAGCGTAGCAATCTGTGTTAGCGACGGAGCCTTATTCTTGCAAGAATAATAAACCTCTGTTTCTTTTATTAATTTGACTCTGAATGTCTCTTACGCAGTGATGTCTGTTTAATGAATTTTTGCCTTAACGGTGCGGTTTTATTAACAACATCCGCTTATTTACCCGCTTCAGGTAAAATCCGGAGGTCTCCGTCTTTGTAGTCGTCCCAGAGCTGGTACATGTAGAGCACAGGGTCTTTCTCGTATGTGATGTAGTACCAGTTGGTCATGATGGGCGCTCGGGACAGGACCATCCCCCTCCACTCGTTCTTCTCACCGTCCTCCTTCTCAAACAGATGCTCCACGGCTTTTCCCACCAGCTCCTCTGCGTCATGAGGAACCTTGATCTTGTTGTTCACTATGAAGGGTTCGGAAACACAGAGGTTGTGTGTTACGGTGATTTTACCCCGGTTAAGGGCTCTTGTGGCATATCGCTTTTTGTGGCATTAAAGCTTTGAAATTTGTGGAAGCTTGTTTCCGCCACTGAATAAAATAAATAAATCAATAATTGCGAGGTCAGTCTTGTGAGATATAAAGTCGCAATTCTGAGAAATAAAGTCGCAATAGCGAGATATAAAGTCACAATTCTGAGAAATAAAGTCGCAATAGCGAGATATAAAGTCGCAATTCTGAGAAATAAAATCGCAATAGCGAGATATAAAGTCACAATTCTGAGAAATAAAGTCACAATTGCGAGATATAAAGTCGCAATTCTGAGAAATAAAATTGCAATCGCGAGATAGAAAGTCGCAATTCTGAGAAATAAAGTCGCAATAGCGAGATATAAAGTCGCAATTCTGAGAAATAAAGTCGCAATAGCGAGATATAAAATCACAATTCTGAGAAATAAAGTCGCAATAGCGAGATATAAAGTCGCAATTCTGAGAAATAAAGTCGCAATAGCGAGATATAAAGTCGCAATTCTGAGAAATAAAGTCGCAATAGCGAGATATAAAGTCGCAATTCTGAGAAATAAAATCGCAATCGCGAGATATAAAGTCACAATTCTGAGAAATAAAGTCGCAATAGCGAGATATAAAGTCACAATTCTGAGAAATAAAGTCACAATTGCGAGATATAAAGTCGCAATTCTGAGAAATAAAATCGCAATCGCGAGATATAAAGTCGCAATTCTGAGAAATAAAATCGCAATCGCGAGATATAAAGTCGCAATTCTGAGAAATAAAATCGCAATAGTGAGATATAAAGTCGCAATTCTGAGAAATAAAGTCACAATTGCGAGATATAAAGTCGCAATTCTGAGAAAATAAAATCGCAATAGCGAGATATAAAGTCACAATTCTGAGAAATAAATTCACAATTGCGAGATATAAAGTCACAATACTGAGAAATAAAATCACAATCGCGAGATATAAAGTCGCAATTCTGAGAAATAAAATCGCAATAGTGAGATATAAAGTCGCAATTCTGAGAAATAAAGTCACAATTGCGAGATATAAAGTCACAATTCTGAGAAATAAAGTCACAATTGCGAGATATAAAGTCGCAATTCTGAGAAATAAAATCGCAATAGCGAGATATAAAGTCGCAATTCTGAGAAATAAAATCGCAATCGCGAGATATAAAGTCACAATACTGAGAAATAAAATCACAATCGCGAGATATAAAGTTGCAATTCTGAGAAATAAAATCGCAATAGTGAGATATAAAGTCGCAATAGCGAGATATAAAGTCGCAATTCTGAGAAATAAAATCGCAATAGCGAGATATAAAGTCGCAATTCTGAGAAATAAAGTCGCAATTGTGAGAAAAAAAGACAGAATTGAGACTTTATATCTCACAATTCTGACTTTTTTCTCACAATTGCAAGTTTATATCTCACAATTCTGGCTTTAACACGTAATTGTCAGTTTATATCTCGAAAAAAATCTGATCTGACATCTTTTCTCAGAATTGTGAGATATAAACTCGCAATTGCGAGATATCAGGCCGATTCTAAAGGGAAAAAAAGCCCCCCTCAGAATAGTTTATATCTCACACTTCTGACTTTACAACATGCAATTGCGACTTCATATCTTGCAATTCTGACTTTACAACACGCAATTGAGACTTCATATCTTGCAATTCTGACTTTATAACATGCAATTGTGACTTTATATCAATCAGTTCTGACTTCATATCTTGCAATTGCGACTTTATATCAATGAATTCTGACTTTATATCTCGCAAATCTGAGAAATAAAGTCAGATTTGCGAGATGTAAACTCAATTGTGAGAAAAAAAGTCAGAATCGTGAGATAAAAAGTCGCAATTACCTTTTTTATTTTTCATTCTGTGGCGGAAACAATCTTCCATAGAAATATGCCTGTGATTGAATGAACCACTGTATTTCATGATATCTGGATACACAGTTACTCATAGCTTGACATTTTGGTCACACATACTCACAGAATGTTTTAGTAACCGTTCATGCACTATAAAAACTGCTCATCCTTGCACATGTGCTACTTCCTGTCACTGGCTTGTTTCCTGTTTGCAGCACAACAGGAAAATCTACTCACCCACTTTCTCAGTGAGAACTTGCAGGTTGGAGACCCTCTCATCTTTAAAGAGCTCGATGCCATAGACGCAATCGAAGCCGTCGTACTTGACCATGAACAGGGAGGAGTTGACGCTGAGGCGGTCCAGCACCGTGCCCTTCCACTTGGTCAGCGCGCCCTTCTCCCTCCAGCTGTGTTGGATGCGTCGGCCCAGCAGGTTGTTGGGATCTGGAGTGAGACTGTCGCTCAGCTCGCCACTGCTGCGCTTCCTGACGAGAGGAGAAAAACAGGAGCGTAATGGGTTGATGAACTTACTAATCAAGGATCGTTTTACCGCTCAAATGCTAATTATGATTTGATCGATTTTACATCGCACAGCATCCTCTTTTAGATAATATCAAATGCATTTGGCTCACGTAACAGATACACATACTGTACGCTAATCTAAAGTGGTATTAAAATTAGAGATGCACCGATTGACCGGCTGGTGAGCGGAATTGGACGATTTTCACGTGATCGGCCATGACATATAGCGATTTTATGCCGGTCAAATGCACCCAGGCGCCACATAATTAACATCGCACAACATCAGCATCACACGCGCACATGGAAACCTTGTGAATTACGGCCGTTTCACACCGCAAACGTAAGCAGCGCGTATTATTTCCGGCGTGCATGTTAATTAGAGCCCGACCGATAAAGGGTCAGAAGGCCGATACCGATACAAATATTTTTGGGTTTTAAAATCCGATATTCCGATATATCGGCCGATATTTTTTTAATATTAAATATTGTTGGATTTCACACACGTGTAAAAGAAACGTGTCGAATGTCTAAACATTCACTCCTCGCAAGTATAACTTACATTTTACAATGCAGGGACTGTAACTAGAGATATGCTAGTTATAAATACGCTAATCATTACTTTATTTAGGCAGAAAAAGTTCATTATGGTTTCCAAGCTCATTAATGTTAACGTTAGCGGTCTTCCACTGATGATAGTGGCATTAGCTAGCTTTGTGGTTAGCTAGTCTATGATGAGCCATAATTTAGCAATAGATAACATACTGCAAATTGTAAAACATACATTTTCAATATAACAGGCCAAGGAGAGATGATTGAAGCGTGTTTCGTCCGTTTTTATTTTATTTTTTAAACATACATTTATCGGCCATTATAACTGCCGATACCGATATTATGGAAATTGGCTAATATCGGCCGGCCGATATATCGGTCTGGCTCTAATGTAAATCAATGAGTGCATTCACACCGGGAGCAGGAGCAGCGCGGGTTTCGGCAGTAGCACCTCATTGCAGTACACGAGATCCAGGGGGCGGAGTTGGATCCAGATCTAAAAGGTGGAGATGGGTAGGATTAGGGCGGGGTTAGGGATCAGGGGGCGGGCATGGGTAGGTTTAGGTATATGTAAGGTGGAAGGAGTTGGATTTTGGTCCAACTCCTCCCAATAGGAGGGTCCAACTCCTCCTATCGGCTAGTTGGATTGGGGTCCAACTCCTCCCCCTGGATTTCGTGTTCTGCAGTGAGGACCATCTCGGTTTCGGCGCAGAGTCTATTTTTGCTGCGCTGCTCACGCTCAATTCAAGTCAAAGCACACTTTTGATGGACAAAATAAATATGATTTCACACAAAAGTGCCCAAAATGCACAGAATTTGCATGTCTGGTGTGTTTTAACAGGAAGTGGAGTATATGTCATTTCTTTTTGAAATGAACACGTTTTTTTAGTTAAATATTGGATGTGAAAAGAAGGAAATGGTTCATCCATAACATTGCACTTTAGATGTGTGTGAATTTCCCACACCAGGAGTAATTTATATAGTCCTATTTTATAGCGATTACTGTTCAAAAATGTTCTATGCAAAATGTAAAATGTTCTACCAAATAAAAGAGAGAAAATAAATATTTGTGTGTGCTGTAAAGTGGTTAGAAAAAATTAAATCGGCTAAAATCGGTATCGGCAGGTCAGACTCTGAAAAATCGGAAATCTCTAATTAAAATGAGTATCAGCAGTCTAAAAATTAGGCATGATATAAAACTGTTGCCAACACTACAATAAGGTTTCATTAGTGAACATGAACTAAGAATGAACAGCATTTATTAATCTAAATGAATGTGAAATTCAACATTTACTAATACATTATTAAAATCATAAGTATTTATAATCATTTAAGATGTTCATGCACTGTGAACTAACATGGACAGAGATTGAATGACTATTAACAAAGATTAATAAATACTATAACAAATATATTACACATTGTTAGTTCATGATGTTAGTTACTGCTAATGAAACCATTTTGTAAAGTGTTACCAAAATTTGACAAAAAAATAAAGTTTTTGCATGATTTAGAGTACACAACACACTAATTTTATATTTGGAAAGAAATTAATCATCAAGGATCCATTAAATTGATCAAAAGTGACAGTAAAGACAATTAAAATGCAGCCTTGGTGCGCAGAAGAGACTTATTTCAAAAACATATGAAAAATATCACCGAGTCCACACAGTACATACAAAAACATGTTTAATCTTCATTATCTTTCATCAATATGTAATAGCTTGCTAAGCCCTCTTATTTTTCAACAATCTTGATCAATTCTGACCCTTAACAGACAATTTTCACAATCCAACCAATTCCAAAACAACTCATGTCCTGTATATTTTTTCTTTAATATCCTATTTCATTCAGAAATACATCAGATTACCAAAATAAAATGGGTTCACATGGACTCTAGTGCCAACTAACATGTGTGTTCTGCGGGTGTGTGTAAGTAAATATCAGCATAATGTAAATTTAAAGCAAATATCAGCAAGTATCATTAGTTAATATACATCATTCAAAAAGAGAAAGAAAAACTGGGACTCCAGATATACAAACCGTAAACAAAGCAGCGCTTGCTTACCATGTTGGATATCAATCATGCTACTGGTGGTATTATGAAAATATTTGCACATTGGGATGCTCAAGTAAGATTATGCAAAATTACAATTAACTTCTGTTGCGCCGTATTGACTTCTAGGCTTTTCGTCACTTTCACTGACTCGTTCGCGAAGGGCAAACTCACACTACGGGACTGCAAGACTACATGAATCACAACAAGGTTTCTTGTCATCTGTCGTCGTCTTGTCATGGCAGCTCACATATACGACAACACACGGTGCACAAACTACAAGACATTTGGTCAAGAGACTGTTCTTTGTTCACACGAGAAATTCATGTAAGTGATTATGAAATTTTTCCATTTATAATATCTGCACTTTGATTGGCTGGATTAGTTCCACCTTGAAATTGCATTCGACACATTACAAGATTATGTGGGGATAAGATCAAAAAAGGTTTGACAGCTCGAGATCAAGTCGCTGACCTGCTCGTTTTGGCCGTTTTATGTCGCAGACTTTGGAAATCTATCTGTGATAGCAAAATCCAGTTAAAAGTCATGTAGTGTGAGCTTGCCTTAAGCTGAACAGCCAATTAGAGTTCTCTCTCTCTCAACGATGAAGCCAATGCCAACAGATGCTGATTCAACAAGCTCAATCGGCCAAAAAGCCCTGATGGGATCCGACTAAAGCCAACGCAAAAACTGGGCCGACCCAATGGTCTGACTCAAGTTCAGCCGAGTGCATAAGTTCAGTCAGAGCTCAGTTTAATAATTCACTCAACAATTCTAACATTGAAAACACATTCCTGGAAATATCACAGCCTGACACCATTATTTCCAGCCTGGTCCTGTTGATAATCTAAGCGACGATGTGCACAACCATTATTAGTCAATTTTGGACTATATGACGTATATTAGAGATCGACATTCTCAAACAAATTTCTGGAGAGCAATGTTTTATATGACACAATTTAATTACAGCAAATAAGATGTATACTTGAACACTTATTAGTCAATGGCTGGGAGTCAATGTGCCTTATCCACTGATTAAGCCTAGTTCACATTACATGACTTGCTCTCAGTGAAATCATGAGTGTTCAAGTTGTTTAGCTGTTCACACCACACAACACAACGTGATTGATCCACAACAGGAGGTAACTCATTAACAACGCACTGCATAGAGATACAACCACGATCGGCTGATAAGAGCATATCATTTGTGACTCAATGAGAGCTGTTTCAGTACTATAGTACGGTCTAAATCCTGAAAATAATCAAACAAATAACGAGTTGACAACAACACGATTCTATCTGGTCTAGAAACCATGTTTTGTAACGAAAAACCACGCAATAAAACGAACCAGAAATGACGCGAAACTGCAGAGAAGAACACAACACGCGAATATGGACGTCAGACAGAAACTAGTGCTGCACACTGTTTGCTCGACGATCTGCTCTGAGAAAAAAAATGCAAAAAAGAAAAAGTAAGATTTACCTGGTGTCCTCAACCCATGCGTTGCTATGATTGGCTGTACTCATGACATCACTGAGATTGAGTCGCGCGACTGCTCGAGATATCTAGCAGGCTAGATATTTTTCTGAGCTCGGTGACCTGTCTGCGAGGTGTCTGCGAGCTGTCTTTGATGCGTTGTTGGCTCTTTCACACTAACGGATTGGCGAGCGTTAATCGTCCGCTAATCGCCCGCGATTTGCACGCGATAACACCCTGACTTGTCGGCGACTCAACGATTTGCAAATCGGGCTTAAATCGGGCTTAAAATCACGTAGTGTGAACTAGGCTTTAGGCTACAAGTAGTTTGTTGAAATGATATGGATGGTTCACTTTGAAGTGTTTTAGCTTATCTCAAGGGCATCCAAGATGTAGGTGTCTTTGTTTCCACAGTATTTTCAATTTTGATATTTTTAGGTCAAACCGTTCTTGTCTGGCAGCCATATAATGGAGGTCTATGGTCACCATCTCAAAGCGCATGCACAGAGAAGTGCAGATTAAACATGATTTAATGACTCGTAAATGTAAGTACACATTGTACACACTTAGGCCATCAATGTGTAATTACATTTACGAGTCATTAAATCATGTTTAATTTGGACTTCTCTGTGCATGCGCTTTGAGGTGGTGACCATAGACCTCCATTATATGGCTGACAAACAAGAACCTAAACCTAAAAATATCAAAATTGAAAATACTGTGGAAACAAAGACACATACATCTTGGATGCCCTTGAGGTAAGCTAAAACATCCCAAAAATTAATTACAAAGCGAACTATCCCTTTAACTGGCACTTCTGTTAGTCTGTGAACCAGCCATCTGGTTATTGGAGATAATGTCAAAATGACCAAATAATGTCCGATTCATCGGTCGGGTTTGAGTGTCCCTAGAAACATCCCTAACTCAACACAATCAAATATATAGGCTAATAAATCAGAATTCAATGAAAAGAAATCAACTCAAGAAAATGACTCACCAACATTGCAGTAATGGTAATCTATGTCACTTCCATATTTATCATGCTAAAGTTAATTTGTTACGGTATTTTAGATAAATTTTGGTATCCCTTCAATATCATATACCAAAGTACTGTGGTATCATCATTCTGATGCCATCATTGTCCAATATTAAAGCGTGTTTATATTACATTTACTCACCTGCCCCTTTTCTTGGACATGTTTCCAAAACCTCAAGCACGTCTAGAAGAGAAAAATGACAGAATTGTAAGTAAACCAATATCTTTGCTTCTTGTCTTGAGTCAAGACACTACAAGTAAAACCAGCGTTTCTTCATCAGCAATTTTAGGCTTTTTTACTTTCAGATTACTGGAAAGAAAACATCCAAAATACACACTACAGTGCTTCGTTTTATGCTTTTTTACACTTATTTGCGTCTAAATGACATATCTTTAAAGGCCGTTTCTCAAAATTAGTTTTCAGAAATCTCTACTTTTGCAGCACTTACATACACCGAACGTTTAGTCTTTTATTCCTATCTATATTCGGACCATTTTTATTTTACACAGAGGTTTGTTTGTAAAACATTTGCCTGATTTATTTTATTTCTAAAGACATGGTGTATATTTTTATTGGAGTGATAAAAAGAGATATCCAAGATTATTTTGTGTCAACAGGATTAGATTTCTGTTCTGGAGATGTATGTTAATAATCAGATAATACCTAATTTGCATATTTAAACATATCTTTTCAGAAATCATGCGATTATACAAAGCAATTGTCTTACTGGACTGTGATTAATTAGCTGGGAAGTGTGGTGATAGCTGTTAATTGAAATGTTTTCCCCATCTCTATACCCAAGGTTTCTGGCTTTACTAGAATATCATATTGCTTTTAGGGATAAGAGCAATAATACACATGCCACAACTGCAGGTACTACTTTCATTTCAGCATATGGAAACTGATGGGAGTGTCAACATATGGTGGTTGTCGACCACATGGTTTTGACAGCTCAATTTATTGTTCACGACACGTAACAATACTTCAAGTCTAACGTTACTTAATCATGTGTGACCTGTGTATGTTACAGATATGTATCCCCACGTTATCTTTTGTTATTTTACATTATTGTCATATTAATCTGGCCTCTGATTGGACAATGACTCAACAGCCCCCGTGTTGCATAATTACATCGAATCTGCGGCATATATTCAGGTGTTTATGGTTTAATATCGCGTTAAAGATGATGCTAAATCCACGTAGAACATGAGATGTCCACAATATTGCGGCATAACAGAGGCCGGTTTATTTTTCATGCCTTAATGGTGCAAGCTGTGCTGTTTCCTCATATATCGCCCAAATTTATATCATAACTAACATGTCAGACATCAGTAATGCAAGTAAACGAGTGTTTAGACTCTATATAAAGACACAAAATCGGGTCGTTTCGCTGCTTGACAAGGAAAACACCAACGCAGCTATAAAACGCTGGCGTTTCTGTCCTTTGCGCAACCGGTAAACTCCGCTTTACCTTCGTGTTTTGTCTTCACACATAATCTTATTTCCACGTGCTCATATGTCCCTGTATAAATCGTAAGAAAAGTAAGATTACCTGGCCTCTATTTTCATGTCTATGATGGACTTCCCTCTGCAGATCCTCATGTATAATGCTCGTCCAGACGTGAGGCAACAACCTGGCACGGCCGGTTTAAACTACAATTCCCATAACGCATTGTCAGGGAGAGTAGCGCAAATAGTGGGCAGGGGATTCTGGGAAATGCAGTTGAGAGTGTGAAAGGGGCGGAAACACACTCTTCCTGTGTCCGGCTGCAACTGTGTAAATGAGAAAATAAAATCCAGCTAAACTCAGAGTTATTAACGAAACACCTGGATTAAAATCTTGGGAGATAATAAAATCTCTCCGGATGCCATTTTTCATCTTATGGGCGACTACTTTTATAAGCACTCACGGAACTACAATTCCCAAGATGCACCAATACTTTTCTTTGTCATTCCTTCGGTCAGGTTTGGATGAAAAGGCCTTTGCTTTATCCAAAGTGTTTCCTTTTGTGTTTCAAAATGTGTGCATGTGCATGTTGAAATAAACATTAGGATGTTTAAATATTTATTTTTAAATAAAATATATAGGCCTACACCATGGTCAAAAACGATTGAATTACACAGCATTATATCAGCTTTATATCTTATATCCATGGTCCAACTTTCATATAAGCCAGACTATTCCTTTAAAATTGGGTACGAAATCATTCAAAATTATCTAAAAGACATAAAATGTATAATACCCAAAATGTTATGTAACAAATATTTTAAGTGTTTTAGTTGTGTTCAAATATTTAAATGTGTTCAAGTGTTCAAATATTTAAACTGTTTAAATCTGTGTTTAGGTAAAACTGTTTAAAATAAGAAGTTAAAAATACTATGCGAGGAATAGTTTGAGGCTAAACCATTTGGTTTGTCATACTATTTGGTTTTAGTATAATTCTACTCATTAAGCAAAAAAGATGCACAATGCAGCTTTGCATATTTCAATTTGCATACCTTGATGAAACTGAAAGTCATACACGTATTGAAATGACACTTCTTGGATCCACACACCATTGGTCATTGTCCTGCAATGCTTTGGATCAGGGGTCACTGTAGTATTTTATATTCTCCACAAGAAGGCACTAGTGCTCCATTTTCAGATCAACGGGACCAATGTCGTCATTCACTGTTCAGATTTTTTTCAACACTCCCAGGTTTAATGTGACTGAATTGATTTCTGTGCGACTCAATACCAGGGATTAAAACAGATGGTTTTTTTTGTACATCATGAAAAAATCATGAAAGATCAGTTACATGATTAATTCATTCTGAACACAACCACACAAATAGGGTGTGCACACTTACGTATGTTATTCAAAGTTTTTTACTTTCTCCATCTGAAATGTCACTTTATGTGTGTGTTTAACATTGAAGCTGCATAAAAAATTTACATTAAGGCTCAATGCACGCATAAACTCCGCATTTGACGCAAGGATGCTCTTCAGTTTACGGTTGAGGAGATTTAAAGCGGAGGAAAAAGGGATTATGGCAGTCTTCAAAATGTACTGTCCTCCCGTCTTTGAAACGAAACTTTAATACGTTTAGATGTAATTTTATATATAGTTATGTTTATTTATAATAAACAAAGAAGCATTAACAATATAAGTCTGTTTTTGTGACTAACGTTTCTTTAGTATAGCCATAGAGTATAAAAGTCAATATAAATTCTCGGTACAGCTTTGGACTCTACGATCGGCGGAAGGTATCCTAGAGACCTTCACCGGAAATAGACATATAGACCGCCGTGCATAGAGCGCATTGTTTACGTTCGACCAAAAAAATAAATTTCTGTCATTAATTAACCTACTGACACTTCATGTGCTCAAAAACTGTAAGACTTTCGTTCATCTTCGGAACACAAATTAAGCTCTTTTTTGATGAAAACTGAGAGTTCTGTCAGGACCACTATCGTCAAAGCTACCACTGACAATTATCAGATAGTTAGGATTGACGATGTAGGACTTTTTTACAAATACAAACATATAGCCTACTGTAACACAAAATAACACATTTTAACTAGGGCTGTCAAACGATTAATCGCGAATCACATCCAAAATAAAAGTTTGTGTTTATATAATAATTGTGGGTGCACTGTGTATAATTATTGAAATATTTTCATACTGTATATAGATTTATATAATAATATATAATAAATATTTTATATATAAATAATATTTTTTCTTAAACATACATGCATGTGTGTGTATTTATATATATAAACACAAACTTTTATTTTGGATGCGATCAATCGTTTGACAGCCCTATTTTAACATTTATCAATGCACACATCAGCTGTGGTAAATAAATAATGACAGAATTTTCATTGTGAGAACTAACCCTTCAATGGGGATCTAGACTTTTTATATCCACATTGGGAGACAATGAGATGGACGCAGAATTTCTGAAATAAAATAAAATAATTTTGCATAATATTTTCTCATAATTCACTGATTCTAATACTGAACATGTATCTAAAACAAACAGTTTTTTGTGAACGCTTGTCTTTGCTATGCTAAATGCAGCCTAAACGTGTCGTCTTATTTTCACCATTCGATTTCTGTAACTCCAGGTCCTGAATGCTAAACCATGAATCACTCGATGAGTGAAGATCTGCTGGGATTTGAAGCATGTCTCATGTCTCTTGCCTGACTCAGACATACAGGCCTTGTGCAATTCTCAAAATACCAAAGCAATTCTCATTCTGTGTTGTTTTCTTCATCCTGCTGATAAAAATGCAGTTACTGACATATTGGATGGCTTTTCTGAAGGTCATCCTGCCAGTCAAGATCTTCCACTATCCTCCATAAAGCGACTCAGAGCCATCAGAACAAACAATGATGGGCAATAAGACCGTTTCCCTGAGGCGGTGACTCTCAACAACTAAACTAAACTGCTCCCTGCGTGAAATGCGCATTTTGATTATCCTATTTTTGTCCACGTGTTCCTCGTGCTGACTAGAGTCTACTGCACTGCTTATATGAATCCTACATGTTGCAATCCAATTTAATATATGTTTTTATGCAACAAAACGAGTTCAGAACCACTGGTTATTTTTGCCTTGACATATCTGAAAAGACAGCTGCTTATGTCAGAATATTCAGTCTCCTCCATTACGTTAATAAGACGTGGACCTAGTTTATAAGACATAAAACATACATGACAAGCATCATGGCACTGTGCATGTGTTCAAGGTATTCTTTATTTCAGATTGAGATAATAGTCAAGATTCAAGCCAAATCCGAATGCAATGATTGCCAAAAAATATTGGTCCTAAGACTTCCACAGAAGATATATGTACAATTTTTTAAATATTTATACCACTTCTATTTATGATTGCTATCAGGATGTGAAAAAAGCTTCAACTAGTATAAAAAAGTGTTTATAAAAAAAATTACCAACCTTTTTTTAATGTAGTAAAACCCCTAGGATAAATGACAGCTCTTAAAAGTGTAATATAAATGTAATTAGGAACAAAAAAGGTGCCATGCAAAACTCTCCGCCACAATGTCTAAAGTGTTCTGGGTGGTTACTATAGCGCCTTATTATGTAGGTGGTTGCCAGGGGGTTGCTAGGCATTTCTTGGGTGGTTGCTAGATTATTTACTGGCCCAAGTCAAACAATATTCTGGTAAAATGTATGGCCCGTTTGCCCGTTTTCTCATTTACCCATGGCAAAAATCTTTTTTCAGTCTCTCTCTATAAAAAAAGGCACTAAAATGTGCTTTATGCTACTTACTAAGTAGCCTAATACAATTGATTTGTCCATGTAATACTGTAGGTGGTTGTTTTGCAGAAATGCATGCATGATAGTGCATTAATAAAGAACTCAAACTCATCTATAACTATTTTACACCACTTAATTTTTTTTCAATGTCCATCCCTTTATTTTATCACTCACTTGCTCTTTCAATGACTCCCACATCCAAGTTCTGTCCTCAAGCGGATCAGTCGAGTCTGGGTTTGGTTCTTCAGGGTCACTGTGAGCCGCTGACTGTGTGAAAGCAATATTGTTCAAATGAAATCGCATCTTTAAGTTTCTGTGCAGAATTGCTGTGGCGTAAATGTTCCTCCGGGCCATCAAGCACCAACCAGCCTTGATCCCACATAAAAACACTTCCCATGGGAAAAATACATTCCTCTGAAAGCTATTTACCTAAATAAATGCGGAAATAGAAAGGGTTGTTACGTCTGGATTCTAGCAAGCACCACGATGAAGCTGCGAGGAGACTTCCAAGATCATAGACTGTTTATTAAACTAAACACACGCAGGCGATCATAAGAACAAATATAAGTAAAAAATGTAATAAAAAAGAACAAGAACTGACCTGGAGCAACAGAAATACAGGGCTTAAATACTCAGTGGAAACAAACAAGAGACAGGTGGCAATAATGAGCAATTAAATTAGAAACCATGACGACGAACAAGGAATGAAGACGGGAAAAATCAAAACACAACAGAAACAAACCTGACCTTAAGTCAGATTTATACAGTGGTGGAGGAAGTACTGAATCTCAGTACTTAAGTAAAAGTACAAATAACCAGATGAATATTTACTTTAGTAAAAGTAGAAGTAACACAATGACAACCATACTTAAGTAAAAAGTACCTGATTTTAAATGTACTTTAACTATTAAAAGTAAAAGTACTTGTATAACAATTGATTCTCTTAATGACTATTTTCTAATGATTAATAAAACATTTAATTCTAACTCATTCAACCTAATACTCCTATAATGATGTTCAATAATGATGGAAAAAAATTGTTGTCACCATTTCTGAAACAAACTTGCAATTAGACAATATAAACCATGCTTATCCTTACTATATAACTATGTTTGGCAGTAAACGCGATTAATTTATGGTGTAATTCTGAACCTCTTGGCTTGCCATAATCCTAACCAAACATATATTACACACGGTGTGTTTCCTATGCACGTAAAAACAAATTTTCATGTATAAATTGCACGATAAACACACTGCGTGCGAGACGCATTTAGTTGATGTATCTATGGCAATCAAACTGATGAGACAAACGTGCAACGAACGGACGGTCAGATTACGTGTTGGCCGGGGAAAAATTGATCAGAAAATGTAATGAAAATGTAACAGA